TAGGAGAAAAAACAACACAGAAAGAACGTGTCTTGCAGAATATACCACCTAAGGAGTCCTTCTGCTGTGCCTTTTGCAACCGGATGTGTCTATCTTGTATTGGCCTTTTTAGCCACCAGCGCGTTTGTAACAAACGTGGGTAGAGCCCTCCCCAAATCTTCGTTTGCGAAGCCCAGCCATGATGACGATATTGAATATAATTTTATTTTATTATTTTATATCATTTACTTTTCATAAGCTTGGAAAAATTATTCCTCTTTAAATGAATATTGCTTGATCACATATCAGCCAGACCACAGAGACCACACTTCATCAACAAGATATTCCTTCTTTTCAGACACATGAGAATATTGCCACGGTGTTAATGCCAGGGCATTAAGAGCACCGCACAGGCTACAGGAACAGGAGTCAGTGCATTTCTAAAAGTTCTGGAAGCTGCAATCTTGTAGACAGCAGTACCACTGTCAACAACAGGCCATAAGCTTTGTGCTGAATTCACAAGGCCTCAGTCCTGAGGCTTGTCAGCTGTGCTGTCTGAATGTATCTTTGTTTCAATTGGAATAGCTGTGTTTGTGATTCCTCTAACTGACCAGTTCAATACCTCTAATTTGTTTTATTGCTGTTTATCTTTGAACAACCGTAGTTTTATATAGATAGCTGCAAAAAGCATTTACTCAATGTATGATGAGATACTTATGAGACTAACACAATGATACAGTATGAAGAGATACAGGCCTGGTCTGATAGCAGGGGCCCTAAGACAGCTGGGCCTTAAGACAGCTGGGTCTTAAGACACAGGATGTGATACAGAGGAATTAGGAATGGCATGGTAAGAGATGAGGCACACACTTGGCATCGGCGGCTATAAACAACTCAGCCATAAACAGTAACAAAATGCAGACCTGGACTAAACTAGGTTTAGAGGTAGCTGAGAGAACAAAGAAATAGTATCCAGTACATGTAAAATGCACTATACATTATAAAACAGACGTATCACGGAGCTGCAGACCAATGAAGAAATAGCAAAGGGGGGAAAATGTGTTAGCAAATGTATAAAAATGATCCCAAGTGGTGGATCCTAGAGGAAGAATGAGCCATCAATAAGAATATCCTATTCCTCCTGGCACAGGATTCCAGCTGACGACAACTCATGGTAACTACCCCACCAGAATCAAACTACTGGCCTTGGGACACAAAGAAGCAGTGGAAGGGTGAACATAAACCCCCAGAATGGGGAGAAGCTAGAAAATGTTTGCAAAGCAATTTAACTGCATTAGTATCCTTTCTTTTCCTGCAACAGATCTAGACTAATAATGATTCTTGAATTAGACTGCTAAGATTTCAACTATACTAATTTTTAAAATCACATATATATTATATATAGATACATATATACACATTTACATGTATACATACATGAAAATGTGTGCATCTTTAGTGTCTATAAACAAGATTTGGATTGTAGCTGACTACAGACTCCATTGCCCAGGCAAGGTCCAACACTATCTGTATTTGCTTACATTGCACAAATGGAGATGAAGGTAGACAAAGGACAGTAATGAAGCTATGGCAAACCTAAATTTTGAGCAAAACTGAGTAAATCCATTTATAGCTTAAGTCAAGGAATATGTCCTGACTGGCATTATTAGAAACAAATTAGAAACATAAGTCAAAATATCACAGTGGACAATGAGTTCAACTAGGGAAGCAAAATCTTACTAGATGTAAGTTTTTAGCTCAGTAGGAAATTTGAAGACTCAAATGTCAAATATTGTAAAATGACTAGTTTTCTCATTACAATTCTCTGCATCTCCTATTGAGAACAGTTGAACACAGAGTATTCATGTGATTTAGCTTCCTGCAAGTCAAGAAACAGAATTAATTAGAAGAGCTTTGTTTCCAATTGTTGTTGTCTGTCTAGACAAATTGAATGATGAAACTTTCAGTTGAGAAGTTTTTTAATTCAAGTGCATGGTGAATTCATATATTCAAAACCAGATATTCTCAAGTGGCTTCCTCTTTTCACATCTCCTGAAATGCAGTTCATTCACAATTGCTGGTTCTTCCTAAAATCAGGGCAGAATTGATACAGGCTAAAATTGTGTATATTATGCAGTTTAGGGAGGTCACTGCTAGAAGTTTTCTTGTTTTTAATAAGGAATTTTTTTGGCCTTTCTTCTTTAACTAACATAATTCCATAAGTTCCATAACTGGTTGTCAAATTTCTTGATACAAAATACCAATTACCAGGCAACAATCCTAAAAGTTACAAGGACGTTAAACAGTCTTTAAATACATTATTCTGTGACCATAAACAAGAATTACCTTATAGAATAAAACTAATTATTTGATACAATGTCAATATTTGATTATTCAGGGATATGAAATGAGACTGTGAAATGATTCAGATAGAGTACAACATATGTAAATCAGGCTACAGCATATACACACAGCATGTTCTCCTGACAAAGTGCTTGTAATCAGATGACTGTAGAAAGTAAGTGCATGAATAATAGAAGGCATAATACTACATAATCTCAGACACTTCACTGCAGCCAACAAACTGTAGGAAAGGCCTACATAAATCACAGTTTAGACTAATGAATAACCAAAAATTAACTGTAGTTCAGTACAACGTTTCAGCATGGTTAGTAACACACTTTGCAGGATCTTTTTCAACTAGCTAATTAAGTACAGCTATGCCTGTTTCTCTGATTTTTGCACAAGTTACACTAAAGATGTAACTTTACTAAAGAGGTACACATGAGAAAAAGAGCTCCACACCTTGAAGGATACTAGTTATGCACTGGACTGGAACTCAGGAGATGTAGGTTCCATTCTCAAGTTTGCTGATGATTTCCTGAATTATATTAAGCAACTTATTTTTGGTTTCTCTGTTTCTCTAAAGATGCTTTGTCTACATTTTCTGTACAAAATTTAGCCATACAGAAATTATACCTGTCAGAAATATGATGGACACTGATCTCATTGGAGAGCATCTACACACTAGTACCATAAATTACTTAACAGATTAGATAATGAATCTTCTGCAGCAACTGATTGTCCTAGATGTAAAATGCACCAACTCTTTCTTTCAAGTCAGCGTGTCAGTACTGTTGCAAGCAGGAAGGGAAAAAATTCCTAGTGAACACTGACTGGGAAAGGAACAGAAAAGACCACTGATTTCCTGCTTTAAATCAAACCCTTGGTGGTTGCAGCTGCACGTGCCACCAATCCACCGCTTGTCTGCTCCTCAGCTGGCCACCAGAGCTTATTCCACCCCTCACAGTCACAAAAACAAGTACAAAATTTCCTTCAAAGTTAACAGCACTAAAAATTCATTAAGAAAAACACAATAAGAGTAATTAATTATACTCTATTTCTCAACAAAAATAATGCCATCAAGTATGAATTAACATCATACAAAGCCAGACAAAATAAAAACAATGAAACACACTTGAAATAAAGTCCAAATTATTTCTAAGGCATTCAATGCACTCTGACAATTTAGAATTATAAGACATTTCTGAAAAAAATATATTAAAAGGTTACTTTCAGTGTAGATTGGTTATATGCTATTTTAGTGGAAAATTATGAGAATTCATACAGAGTTTGAGTAGAATATATCAAGGTTGAATTTAAATGAAGAATTTTTGGATAAAATATCCATGTAATCAATTCTATTGGCAGTCATATACAGCATGGATTTACTTTATAATCCATCAGATTTAACCATACTGCATTCCCCTTCTACATTCTAGTAAAGCAAAACTAACACGCTGAACTAAAATAGGAATTGATTTTTAGAGGCAACATTGGAGGAAACGCATCTTCTATGGTGATTCATGGTGCAAACTGTAGCTACCTGGTGGTAATACCTTAGAAATTATATGTCTTGACCCTTAAGAGACCTCTGCTATCAGTATTCTACCATTGTATGGATGCAAAGGCAGCTCCTGAAGACTTTCAACACCATGTACCCGGGAAAAGAGGGTAGATTTTATTACTATTATTATTATTATTTTTTACATTGTCCACTGGGCCCTTTTTCACTGCTTCACAATTCAGGATGTTGGAGTCACACATTATAAGTAAATTATACACTTAAATTGTTAGGAAATGAATGCCAATTAGCTGTTTATAGTTACAAACAAACCACTGGGGGGAAAAATAAAGAAAAAAGTACACAACATATATCTGCATGAAATTACTTATAAGTAATCGTGTGATGACTATAAGGCTAATAATTTTTAACAGAGATAATAAAACTGTATCACCAAGTGCATCCTGGTTATTTGCAATAGCTATGATTGCCACAGTAGCAACTGTAGAGAGAAGCCTTTGTTATTAATAAGTATTCCTTACTAAACTGTAGACAAAAACACAGCTTCTCTGCTACTGCAGTGAGACATTTTTATCTACATTTAATACAGTGAATAAATACTGAAATTCTGGAAGTGCTATTAAGTACTTCAATTTTGATTAGTAGCAAAGCATGTATTTAATTTACTTAAGTCTGTTAAACAGTAAAACATACGTGTATATAAAATGTATACAAATGTACATGACACATTTTATGCACACGGACGTATACAACGTGTGGCTAAAGACAGACATATAATATGAAGACATTTTGAAACAGCAGTAAAGCCAGCTGGTTTTAAAATAACAATGATTTCAGAAGCTATGTCATTTGCAAATAATGACAATTAACATGTCACAGCAGCATTAGAATTTGCAATTACCTAAATATAAGAAGTGAAATTCCTTCTAAATATTAAAATCATACTGATGGTGTTTAATCTGTCTCTAATTCTGGTAGAGTGAACCTAGATATATTTTCTGCCTGGTCATGTTACAAAGCTCTTTTTCTTCCCACAGAAGATATAAATGGACATCAATAAGGTTACTGAACTGTTGTTCCAGAAAACCTGACTATGCAAACCATATTCTAAAAAGAGAAGGTATTTACTGTTGAGAACTGTACTTTTCTCCTAATTTATAAACCTGAAAGCATTTTTCCCAATGTTCCTTGCAAAGTGCTTATGCTGTAAACAAAGCTAAAGAGTATCATCCTGAAATACCCTGTGAGGTCTTGAAGCTGCCCCACATTGGTATTCCATCTGGATGTTACTTAATGAGCAAAGCTTGACCCTTTAGTAATCAGTCTCAGCTGAAGTACAGGCAGGTTGACTTCATTAGGAACAATTCCAAACCCTTTGTTCAGAATCACATATTCTCTTCTTTTGCTGGATAGTTCTTTGTTCCCTTTGGAAAGTAGAGACACCTGGGAGGAAAAAAAATCAGTAGTTAGTTGGAAGTAAGAATTTCCCACTATTCACACTCACCAGGTATGGGATCAATCTCTGTGCTATCAGCAGAAAGCTGATGTATGAGCATAATGCAGAAGCCAAAGAACCCCAGAAGTCTATCAAAAGAAATGGTTTCAGTTCAGAGCTTACAACAGTTTGATGCAGAAATCTCTGGGTGAAATTTTATCATTTATGCTACACACAGGGAATTAGTTTGTCTAATGATCCTCTGACTCAAAATTTATGGACTAGTCTGCACTGCATACAAATAGAATTAGAGCAGCATGGTGCAAAGTTTTCCCACAGATAATCAATGAAGCCTGAATGCAACACAACCTATTTGTGGGCCAGCTTTAACTTATGTTGCTGATGTAACATCTCCAGACTTCAGCACTATGGAGAATTAGTAGAAAGCAAGTCTTTAACACCACTTCTTTCTCCTTTTCTAATTCCTCTGCAGCCTGTTTCTATGCTACATAGAAAATTAGCACAGAAAGTGATGGAGCTGCATCTGTCAGCTCTATGTTGGTGAAACGTGTCTCATAATCAAGATGTCTTACATTGTTATAATTGTACTATGAAAATATGACGTAAAGACGTCTCATAATCACTGCTGTGAGAAAGTAAAATAGGTTGTCTTGGTTTTGTCTCAAAACTCCACCAGTCTCCAATCCAAGTGTAAGACCTCTTCTGAAATTTCCCCTGACTCCTTGTATACAATATGTGTAACTCAGATATCCAAAGACCTTTCAAATATTCCTTAATACACATGGTTCCTTAGGAAGCAGTGTTATTTTGATTACTGAAGTACTGAAAGATATGGAAGTATTGCAGGAATGAGGAAAGATATGAAAAGTGGTTTACAGCTTTGCAAACATACTTCAACACATGCAGATAGAAATCCCTACGCTGAGAGATTGTTATTAAAGTTGTAAAGTCAAGTGCATTTAAGGAAAACCAAAACATATAGACTGAAGGCTGACAGTAGACTTCCGTTCAACCCGGTATGTGGATAACATAATCCTTGATGGGGCACTGTACCTGTGCAAAAATTAGAACCAGGGAATAGTTTTGACTGGAAAGGGACTTTAAAGACCATGTAGTTCAACCCCCCTGCCACTGGCAGGTATGTCTTTCATTAGATCAGGTTCCCAAAATGCCATCCAACCTGACCTTGAACACTTCCAGGGATGGGGCATCCACAACTTTTCTGGGCAACCTGTTCCAGCATCTCACCACCCTCACGAAAAAAACTTCTTCCTTAGGTCCAATCTAAATCTACTCTAAAACCATTGTCCTTATGCTGTTGCTACAGGCCCTGGTAAAAAATATATCTCTTATCTATTATAAGCCCCTTGTAAGTATTGAAAGGCTACAGTAAGGTCTCCCTGGATCTCCTTTTGTCTTGTATTTTCTTGTCCCAATTGGAAATCCTTGCTACAACACACAAGTTAATAAAGAAAACAACAGCAGATTTTTTTTAATATGGTCAAGCAACGTAGGGCAAAGCTTCTTACCTTCAATACCTTTGTTCAGTGTTGTAAAAGCTAAAATCTCTCAGCTCCTTCCACGGCCCAGATTTCTAGAACTACAGGACTCCATGGAAACATGGGAAACTCAGGAGACTGAAGTGGTTTACAGATAAAATGTCCCAGTAAGATAAACGTAATTTTCACATGATCAATCTTAAAAAAGAGGTTTCAAATGAATTTTCAAAACTGGAGTTGATAATCTGATGAGGCCTAAGAATTATCTTTATGAAGCACCATATCAGTAAATGGAGGTTCTGCTAGTAAAAAGGGAGTATTTAAGGACAAGGGGACACAATTACAATACTTAGAGGAACACTGTGCCAGTTAGTACTATATTGACATCCTAGAATAGCTTTTGTTTTATCTTGCACCAGTATATCAACAGCTACCTATGTAACAACGTGCAATTCCTCCTCTAGCCATAGTCATTAAGAAGATCTTGAAACAGGTAAAAAAAGGATTTACCTTTCTATGGCACTGATTTCTGAACACTTGAAACCAATCTCATCCTCCATTTCTTCAAAAACTTTCAGACTGTCTTTTGTTTAGCCTAAGAGCTCCCAAGTGCCTTTCAACAGCATCTTGCTATGACATGGAAAGGTATTACCTTCTTACCAGCTAATCTGCCCTTGCTGGACCAAACCACTAAAACCTCAAAACCAACAAATCAAACAAAGAAATAACTCCACCACCACCACTTTCCCTTTATTTCAACTTAAAGTGTTTAGTCCAAAGACAGTCTGCTTGCACAAGAATCATTCCAGACTACACTGAGCTTTCTGAACCATCTTAAGTAGGAAGGTGCCTTCTTATTTGACGTTCTTTGACAGACTTTATCTATGTTCTAAGCAAGAATTCCACCAAGCAGACACCTCAGACACACAGAAGTCGTTCTCAAAGTAAGTCTTTTCCTCAAACTGGTAGAAAGACCTGCTTCAGAACTGCAACAGCAAACCCATCTTATCTTGGCCAAACAAATCTGTGATGACAGATGCTTCTATTCAAAGATGGAGAGCTCATGTAAGAACGTCTGAGAGCTCAGGGCATGTGATCTCTGCAAGGGATCAGAGCCATCTGCCTGCTGTTGAAAACAGTCATTCCCACAGTCCAAATGCTGACAGCTTCATACACATGCACATTTTCTAACAGACAGTGTGGACTTCAGGCATTTTCATTGTCAGGAGACCACTTAATTTCATGTGTACATTACTGAACTGTATCAGTGACTTTGTACCGACCAGTCAGCCTAAACTCAGGCCAGATGATCTTTCATTTTTTCCAACAAGAGGTGAAATGCACCTTTCCACATATCTCATTGCTAAAGAGAATCTTCAGCTGAGTGAGGGGAGAGATTCTGCATCAATGATAGTCCTACCACATGATCAGATTGTTCTGGTACTTGCACCAGACAGATCCCTGGATCCCTTCTCTGTTCTGCACAACACAATGTCATGAAAAACAGCCAGGTTATACCTCTTTTATACCTAGCATACCTAAGACTAGTCAAATCTATGCTAACTAACAGCTAGAGGGCAATAGTAGTTTCTGTAGTTTCTGCTACAGTCCCTATCATTCTGTTTCATAGGGAAAAAAACTTTAAAAAAAAACCTATTAAGCAAAGTGGGAAAAGTGCTTTATTATGGTATTGTAATACCAGGAAAAAAAAATTCCAATTCTTTTTGTCATTCAGGTCATGCCTGAAGTGACCAGAATATTCCTGTAATTCTCTAAAAACACAGTTAGTAGTAAGTTTTTCACACCTGGGCATTTGATTTTGACATGTACAGCTGCTAATACCCTAGGATCCAAGGCATACATTTTTCCTAGTTTACAAGTCATCATTTCTCTAGATTTCAACCATTACCATGAAGCCTGGCACATGTATCTTCTGAGTATAGCCAACATTTGTGCAGCTGTAACAATTTGGTAAAAATTATGTCTCTAGCAAGTGTGAAAGGAGCAGTGTGACTATCACCACGTGCAGAAGCAAACCCTATATCTTTTAATCCACCTCCTGGCCAAATGTTTCATCGTTGGTGGAACTCTCTGTATTAATCAATGTGACAAGTATTAGTCACTGTCTAACCCTAGGAGCTGGATGGAGTTGAAGGTAGGATCAATTGCTACCCCAGGTTTTCATGTTGCTTCTAATTTCTGTAGGATCTGTGACTTAGGAAATATAGGCCAATACTGCCTCTTAGTGGAAGGACAGCTAACTCAAAAGGTGCAGTTAATGCTGGTCTGCGAAAATAGAGCGACATACTAATGGTGCCACACAGACACTCAGCTGGTAGCCATCAGAACTGCAGGGGGGTGAATGAAAGACTGTTGCAGCCATTCATGTTTAGAAATTATAAAAAAAAAAAAAAAGAAGAAGAAAAAGAAAAAATAATCATAATTATAGTTAAAAAGTACTGCTGAACTTTGGCAGACTTTTTTACCTCCTTGGGTAGAAGTACAATTCAACAGAACATTGGTATGACTCTAATAAACATTGCTGGCTAAAACAATCTTTTGTATGTGTAAGAAGTAGGACTCAACATGGACAACCATTTGGAAGAAAACAATTATCAGAAAATGCCTGGCAACATTAGCTGAAGGAGTGCCAAGAGGGAATAAAAAGTAGCAGTGTCATAAATCACCTAGATATCACTAAGTCAAAAAATCCACTTTATATACCAGGAGTGTTGGAGCTGTGTACAGTCATCTATTGTCTGGTTTGGTAGGTTCTAGAACATTAAAAAAACATTAACTAAACTAAGTACAAATTTAAATCCTTTAGTCATCTAATAGAATTAAAGAGATGCATTAAGTGTTAAAGAATACTTAATTAACATGGTAAGAATTTGCAGATAGAAAAAGCTCCATTAATGCATTTCTATTTTCAAATTATGGACCATAGACCCAATACAATGAAGGCTGCCTCAAAAGGGCACAATTCAGAACTTGCTGTCATTCCTGAGCTATATAATCCCTCTGGGAATAATACTTTGAGCTATTCTTTGAGTAGTTAAAAATGCATAGATATCATTAGAGCTAGACTTGATGGTTTTCCTCTTCATGAAAATAGTTCTCTTTAACTACAAGAATAGTTGCCTCTCTATTTCTAAAAATTCAGGAACAATGGAAAAGACTGCATTGAAGAAAGTTAAGAAAATTATATATGACAACATATCAATGCATGCACTTCATTATGAAGTCTGTTTCCTTCTATTCTTACTTGCATTGCAATAATTTTTCTTCCTACAAAACTAATGTTGAAACAGAATTTCTGACAAACAGACCTATGGTCATATGAGCTTGTACTGGTTTTGGCTGGGATAAAGTTAAATTTCTTCATAGTAGTTTGTATGGTGCAGTGTTTTGGATTTGTGCTGAAAATGGTGTTGACAACACACCAGTGTTTCAATTATTGAATTTGGGAAGGGACATAGCCAGGACAG